TAAAAATCAGTTGTTACCACCCTTCTATAGTATAAAGGCAGAAAAAGACCCACTGGTTGTAAGAGGCAAGCAGGAGAGGAAGGGCATCAGAGGGGAGGGGCTTCTGGCCCACACACAGCCGTCCCCCTCTCTGCCAAGCAGTGGCAGATCTCTGCTTGGACTCTATAATCTGTGCATGCCAGAAGTGGCCACCTAACCAGTCAGGGCACTGGCGCCTTCCTGTCTCACTGAAAGGGAGAGCTTCTCCTTCAAAAGCTTGCTTTAGAATTAGAGCTGGGAGATCAAGTCCAGACAAAGAAGGTCCCCTTGGAAGGCTGGCCAGCCTCATCCTGGGACTCCCAAAGAGTTCCAGAAACTACAGCCCACTACTGAGGAGGTAAGTTTGGTCAGAGACCAATGGCCGGTGAGTAGAGGCACAGACTGACCAGATTAGAGAAACCAGGTTGGCCATAGAAGTCTCCAACAATCCTCCAAAGAAGTCCACAGAGAGAGCTTGTGATTCTACTGCTGACTCTGACAAGAAACTTTTTTTGTTGTTCCATAAAAAATGAAAGGAGTGCATCCCAGGCCTAGCTCAAAAGTTTGCAGGAGTCAGACACTGGTGATTGTCCAGAAGAGGTCAAAAAGCTCTCAAGACGAAACAACTTTAACACTTATAAGTAGCATCCAAGGGCAGTAAAGATGGCCCAGAACACTGAAGAGATACAGAAATTCCCAAAGATTGCATGGCCTTCCCTCCCTTCCTCCACTGTAGATAGCAAGGGTCAGTCATGGCCTCAGAGTCAGGCTGCTCTCATTAAGGTGCAGTCTCTGGCCTGTACTTTGGCCACATAACAAAGAACCTCCCAGCCTGGTCTGAGACAGCAGCCATTTCACACACCTAAGTCCCAAGCAAGGGACAAGGATCAGATGTCAGTACCGGCTGCCTCTCGGAAAAGGTGGGGAGCATCAGCACTTTGTGGCATGTGTGGGAATTCCTTGGGCTACAAAAATTTGCACATTAAGGACCCAGAGGTGCCACCACAGTGGCATCAAGTTAATCCTCTGCAATCTACAACTTACTTGATCAAGCCCAGAAGGGAATGGAGATAGACCCTAGGACTAAAAGTGGTGTGACCTGTTGATCAGGGAGGTGAGCATGTGTGTTTAGGGTGGGAAAGAGATAGCCCAGGACTCTTCAGTTCCAGACTCCTTATTTTTGGTCTTTTTTCTCTTCTCTAAGGACCAACAGACAGCAGTCCCAAGAGGAGCAGTCCCTCTGAGGCAGCCTGGAACCACTCACGGGCTCTGGGAGGACAGGGCTGAGACTCCAGCAAGGGGGGAGGAGGAGGGGAGAGAGATGATAATGAATGGGCAGATCTATCCTGATCTATGTGATCTGTAGCTAGGATCGAGCAAACCTCAGCTAAATTGTTCAGAGGCAGGAAGAGCCAGAGATACACTCAGAGAACGACACAACACAACCAGAGGACAGGGCTGGGGGCTCAGGGGGCAAGGCACGGAGAAGACAGCTCATTCCTAAAGAGTGACCCAGACTTTAAACTCTGCTGAGATCCTGGGTGGCTCTCTGGCTTGAGGAAAGAGAGGAAGTTAAGGAGTTGTGGGAGCCGTCTCAGCCAGGACCCCCCCCACCCCACCCCGCCCCAGCCCCAGGAAATCGAGATAAAATTCCTCTAGGGCTGGAGCGACAACTGTTTTTGTGGGACGGGGCGGGGCGGGGTGGGGGGACGGGCTGGGGACAAGAGAGGCGACAGACAACACTCCTGGCTACCTCTAAAAGAGAAGGGGGACAGGCTCTTTCACACCTGACAAAGATTCCTCCAATTCTGGGAGCAGAGGGAGAGGAACTCAGGGTCTCTCCCTCCCACAACCGGACCGGGACAGGCCAGAGGAGAGCCATAGGAGTTTCCCAAGGCTCACGAAGGGCAGGGAAGGGAAGGAAAGAAAAGATCTCCCCCGCTTTGGCTCGACGCCTGGGGAGCCCCTTAAGAGGGGGCTACGGGTCGGGGGAGGGGTCAGTATCCCCCTAAGCCAGGGTTGGGCGGGAGGAAGGGCCGCCCCGGAGAGGCTTCAACACGAACGAGACACTGCGTCCCAGGACAGGAACACTCACGGCGGCTCCGGGGCGGCGGCGTTACTTGGGGCCGGGGCTCGGACAGGCTCCGCTCCTCTCCCCCCAGCGGTGTCCCAGGCTCCGGCCTCCACTTCCGCCTTTCAGCCGCTCCGGATCCGGATCTCCACCTCCAACCCGCCCCTCAATACTCCCAGGCGACTGACAGGGCGGAGAGACCAATGGGAGGCACTCTTGGCCGACTCACAGGCGGTCCCGGCGTGGGGTGCGGGAGAGGCGGGAGAGCGCGCGCGAAGGACGGCGGGACTTGTAGTTCGCAGCGTTGGGAGGAGCCGGTGGCCGCCTGGGATTTAGGCTTAGGGTGGAGCCGGCGGCCGGCTAGGCGGAGCCCGGCCGGGAACTCTTTAAGGCCAGGCCTGCCGACCGCGTCATCACGGATTCCAGGCGCCCCGAGGGGAGGCGTTTGGCGGAGCGTTGCAAGAGTGCAGAAGGCTGTGTGTGCAGAATTGGGAAAGGAAAAACATGGTGTGAATGAATATGCACGTAAGGCCGCGTGGACCAGCCCTAAGCGCTCCCTAACGCGGAGAAACCCCTGTCCAAGCTTTCGGGCCAAGTCAGTTATGGGAGCCCGACTGTTGGGGACATTCTGAGATGAGAAAGATGATGGAAGCGCTATAGAAAGGGCTCTCTGGAGGCTACTGGGTGGGATCACAGGGAGAGCTCTTGCTACTGCCCAGCCGTAAACCGGAACCCTCCGTCTTTGGCTCAACCCCAACCTCCGCCCCTGCCCCTGCCTCTCTCCATCCACAACCAGAACCGGCCCTTGTCTCTGATGCCGAATACTGAGTCAGACCACTTCTGCCTTGTCGCTCCCCATACATCCATAAATGCAGATTGGAACCACTTCTGTTTGTCCCCACTTTGCCCTTCCTATGGATCAGGACTATTTCTATTTTTTCTGCTCCCCTCAGTATGGATTAAGACCACTTCTGCTTCTGCCCGCCCCCGACCCCCCAACACAGACCAGCATCTCCTCTGCTTCTGCATCCCACCCCCAGGGACACTACTCGGAACCTGTATGGAATCAAAGCTCACCCTATAGACAGCTGTGGGCCTTGTTGCTATGACGCCAGCCAACACCCATCATACTCTGGAGCCTGAGCTGGAGAATCGACCTGCAACCTGTCTGGGACAACCTGCCACAATGCTGCCCACATCTGGTCACCAGGGTACCTCCTTCTAACATCCATAACACCCACCCCTGCAGTGATCATCAGAGAAGTGAAAGCTAAGAAAGAAGAGAGACCTTAGGAGAGCAAAGGGGATGGGGTAGAGCAGGATTCCTAGCAGGTTCTTGGCTGGTGACAAGGGCTTCCTCCAGACCCTGCTGTACCTAGCTTGCAACAGGTAGAGGATCGGTTAATGCAGGATTGGTGGGGAGTCCCATGGGCCACCTTTCCAGGACTGGAGGTGGACCTGAGTCAGGGCCCTTACCACATACCGTGTCTGAATCTGTGGCTTTGACCAGGTTGGGGGGAGGGTGGGTGTAATGGGCCCATAGTGACTCATTAAGGTTTCTGCCTCATCTCTGGGGCCTCTGGTGGCGTGAACATGGTACCAAGTGGATTGGTTGGCACCTTTGCCCTCCTAGAGACAGCAACAGGGCCCTGGGGTACTGTGGGGGAGTGACTATTGTGTAGGTTCCTCCAAAGCCCTGGGGCTATCAGACCAACCTCCAGAAACAGCCAGAGCCAGAAACTACAAAAATAAAGAGTTTATTTCCTATCCAAAAGTGAGCCCAGGGTGTTGGGTGGTAAAGGAGAGCTGGAGACCGGGGTGAATTTTCAAGAAGTCAGAGCCCTGAGTGAGACCATATTGGAAGGGGGAGAACAGGCGTGGCTGAGGTCTGGGGGTGGGGGAGGGGGAGGAGTGCTGCTGGGACTGTTGCAAGTTGCTGGCAGCAGAAGAGACCACTTTCAGTGTCGGCCTGCAGAGAGACAGAAACAAAGATGTTGACAGGCCCAGGCCCAGGGGTAGAAATAGACATTACTGGGCCCAAAAGGCACCCACTGGGGTAAAGGAACCTGGGAGCACACTCTAAGGCAGGGATTGCAAACTGAGATACCCATAGAGACCAGATAAAGAATTCAAATGAGGGAAGCTAGCTGGGTGTCAGGAGATGATCAAGGAATGTGGGGACTGCAAAGAAGTGGAGAGTGCAGGTCTCTTCCAAAGAGGACAGTGGCCACCCAACACCAGCTGATTATTACCAGGTGCGGCGTTGGCCCAGTGTCGCCAGATCTCCCGAATTTGCTTAGAGAAGCTGGAATATCTGGATTTCTATGTGAACTCTCCTGATTTTCAGTGTGACAACTCATTCATATTTTGAAAAAAATGCTGTGAGTCAAAGAATGCATATCTGGGGTCATCGGTTCATTTCCTATGTGAGCTGTGGGGAAGGTGAGCCCCTCCAGCTTGGGCTGATGGTGGGAGGCCTAAGAAGTCTTGGGTTACTCAAATGTCAGCCAGGGGACTTCCCTGGTGGTCCAGGGGTTAGGACTGGGAGCTTTCACTGCTGAGGGCCCGGGGTTCGATCCCTGGTTGGGGAACTAAGGTCCCACACGCCGCACAGCGAAAAAAAAAAAAAAAAAAAAAAATGCCAGCCAGGATCTCAAACCTACCCCTCTGGAAGCAACATTGCTTTCAAAGTCTCCAGCAGAGACCTGGGGGCTGGGACAAAAGACCTCACGGTATCACTAAGCTACCTCTGCACTGGAATCTGCAATCCATCCCTCTTGCTGTAGACACCAAGATCCTGCCTGCTCTTGCCTCAGTCTTCATTTCCCAGGCTGGATCTGGGGGCTTTTCCCTTCCCCTCTCTGCTCCCCCATCTCTACCTGCCTCCAGGTCCTGGGGAGAAAGCCAGACATCTCATCTGCCCAGCTCAGTGGGCACTGCGGTCCATCTCATGCCTGTTGGGTTCCACGGCCTCAGGTGGCTCCCCTCACAGAGGAGAATAGAGGAGAGTTTGGAAAAGGCAAAGGGTCAGAAGTGACCAGGCTTTGTTAAAAAGGTCAGAGAATCCAGAGCCAACCAGACCATCTGGTGGCTGCTAACCCAAGGCAGGAGGCCAAGGGGCCCAGCCCCTCCCTGGAGGGCAGGCGTCAGTGCCCACCCCAAACGGGCCTGGGCCCGTGGCCAGGGTCAGTGGAACGTGTCTGACCTGGACCGGAAGCTGTGCCTCATGAGGCTTGAGTTCGGAGGTAAGGCCTCTGGCACTGGGGAGGGTCTCAGAGGGTCAGGCTCTGAGGGGTAAGGGGATAGCATGGAGGGTCTCAGGTCGGGGGGGGCAGCCCCCATCTCTGCTGTCCCCACACTGGCTGGGCAGTGGACCTCAGCGAGGGTAGTATCCTGGAGGCCAGGCAGTGGTCTGGACAAACAGGGAGAGATGCATGGAGGCCTCTGTGGTGGGCAAGGAGGATCTGGGGGCCAAGCCGAGACTGTTGGGTGGCCTGGGGGACCCAGCCTGGCCTGTAGCAGGTCCATCATGTGTCGAAGCTCCTGGCTAAGCTGAGACACTTCCCGGTTGAGACGGGAGATCTGTTGAAAACACATCACATTGTCTCCCAGGTGCCATACAATCACCACCCTCCTAGGTGCACTCCCTTCCACAGTTTACAAAGCTCTTTCGTACCCACTCTCTGCTCATGGCCACCCTGAGAAGAAGACAGGACAGGGGTTATTTTTGTCTAGAGGTAAATACCCCAGCCTCTTTCCAAAAAGGATTTGGGACGACAGCTCTTGCTACTCCCCGCCACACACACTTTGACAAGATGTAGAAAAATGTGCTCAAAGAGGCCGCACAGCTGCGAAGTGACAGATGCAGGCTTACTCTCAGGTGATACACCACACGAGCTCAAGTGTCTATTCAGCGTTTTTCAAATTTCAGGGAGTACAGAATGAACTGAAAAGCTTGTCAAAATGCCAATCTCTGGGCCCCACCCCAGACATTCCAGATTGGGTGAAGCCCAGGAGTCTGCATTTTAACAGGTTCTCTGGGTACTGATGGACACCCAAGTTGGGGAACCACTGGTCTAGAAGAACCGCATGCGGAAGCAGGGCTGACCTTGAATCCTGCCAAACCGGGGCTAGCTCCGCCCCCAGCCTCAGGGCCCGCCCCAGCCCAGGTGCGCCCCATGGGATGCCTGCTCTTTATCAGAACCCAGGGAAGGCCCCGAGCACTCCCGAGGGCGCAAGGGCTTGACCTGGCTGCTTTGTGGACGCAGCTCTGACATCCCTGAGGGGGAGGCGGAGGCACAGCCTGGGCAAACAGGATCAGGGCTCTTTCTGACCAGGATTCAGACCTGAGGGTCCAGGTTCCCTGGGGTTGAAGGCCTGCTCAGCCTCCCAGTCCTCTGCCCCACTCGTCGGGGGGAGAGGGCCGGAAAGGACTGGAGCATGTAACTTAGTGGGGGGAGGGTCCCTGCAGGAGCAAATCCCATGGCGGTGGAGGGAGGAGAGGCCCTCTTTTCTGGCTGGACCACCTGAGCCAGTTGGAGGGATGGAAGTAGCTGTCCCTGAGTACTTACGGTGTGCCAGGGACTGGGCCAGGCATGTATGCGCCCTCATCTCATCCTCACAACAACTCTGGGAAGAACGTATTGATTTCCCCATTTTCAGATGAGGAAGTTGAAGTTCAGAGTGATTGTGGGACTTGCCCAAGGTCTCCCAGCTAGTGTGAATATCCAAATTCAGGACTCTGGCTCCAAACCCTTTGAAATGCTCCTATACTAAGCACATCTCTGATCCCAAGGTTGGAGGGGAGGGGCCAGCCCCAACCCACCTCCTGGTTCAGCCTGCAGACCTTTTCCTTCACCTCCTCGGCCTCAGTGGCCACTTCCCGGCTGGGCATGGTCCCTGCAGATGGAGTGGGGAGAAGGGATGCTGGGTGAGTACAGGGAGCTCAAGTCTACAGCCTGGGCTGGGCCCTTCACTGGGCAGGCAGAGGGCAAGGGGAGAGGACGTTCTGGGGTCAGGATGCTGGGAAACCCAAGCTCTTCAGGATGGTTTCGTGGCCCTATCACTTCCCCAGCCCCTCCCCACTCCACCCCATGGAGAAGCATGGAGCTTCTCTTTGCTATCTGTTTTGTTTTGTTTTTTTTTTTAGGCCGCACCATGTGGCATGCCCCCTGCATTGGGATCTTAGTTCCCTGACCAGGGATCGAACCCGTGCCCCCTGCATTGGGAGCGCGGAGTCTTAACCACTGGACTGCCAGGGAAGTCCCTTCTCTTCGGTATCTGAACACAACTGCTCTTCTGGTCATACCTCTATACCTTTCACCAACCGCCTTGCTCCACCCCTCAAACTCCTGCCCACCCTTTAAGACCCACCTCTAGTGTCCCCTCCTCTAGGAGGCAGGGTTAGAGGCTCCCTCCTCTCCTACCTCAGAGTCCTGTTCTTTGTCTCAGTCACGGCACTTAGCACCCTGTTCTGGAATCGTTTATCTGAGTACACAGGTGTCTCCCCCACTAGACTGGAAGCTCGCTAGGAGTGTGGACCAGGTCTGGGTCATCTGCGTGTTCCTAGCACAGCACCTGGCAGCTGGTAAGCCCTTACTACATGTGGGATGGATGGATGGACGGCCGATGAATGGGTGACGTGAGTTGAAGTCCACTGCTGGCCCTTACCTGTAGGAGGGGCCTGTGAGTGAGGCCTAGGGTGCTCAGGCCTCCTGCTGAACCGGAACGTAGGGGCCTCTGCTGTGCTGCCAGAGTCCTCAATGCCATCCACTATCCTGGACGGAGGCAGTGGTCATCAGTCCCACAGGGAGAGGGTAAGGGCCAGAGCACAGCAGGCAGAGGGTGAAAGGGGCTGCGGTGCCAGGGAGCTGGGGAGGAGCAGCCGTCAAAGACGAGTGGGGTTGCAAGCTGCGGTGGATCAGGTAGGGCGGGGTGGGCACATGGGGAGGAGCACTGGTCAGAATGCTGGGGACGGAGCCCAGAGAAGGTTCTGGAAGCCAGCAGGGGTATAGGGAAGGCAGGGGAGGCTGGCGTCTCACCGGGGACTGAGGTCCGGAGGTCCAAAGGTTCCCAGTGGGGGAATGAGAAGCTGGGGGGGCTTCCAGGCAGCAGAGCCCCTGGGGAGGCCACGAGGGGAGGGGCTGTGGCCCCGGCCAGCCAGGGCAGGGGAAGGGGTCGGGGACAAGGAAGGAGAGGAGACAAGGGCTGAGAATGGGGGCAGCTCCTCCCCCAAAAGGCTGACCAGGGAGCCCCGGGGCCGTGCTGGGCTGAGGTTGGGCAGCAGGAGGGCCCGCCGGGGCCTGGGACCACCTCCAGGCTCGGCCCCAGCCTCAGCCTCTGTGACGGATGGCTGGGTCTTGTCTGAGGAGGAGCCCAGGCTTTCCGAGCGGGTCTGTGGGCAGAGGGGGCAGCTGATGTCACAGGGCAGTGACCAACAGGCGCCTTCAGTAAGCAACAGCCTTCACTGGCGGTTGCCGCCCTCCATCCCCTCTCCCTTCACCCTGGAGCACAGCAGCCAAGGAAAGGTGCCCCCCACTCCCGTCTTCTCCCATGCAAGGAAGAGTGCGTTACCTGGGAGAGGCGAGGGGATCTGGAGAAGCGGCAGAGGCCCTGCAGGAACATGGGGGGTGGGGGGGGCGGGGTTCAGGCTGACTCACACCTCCCGGCTCCCCCGGTGCACCACCTCCTAGTCTCACCCATCAGTGTCGTGGGGTTTGAGAATGTGGGGCCTTTTTGTGGAATTGAGTCAGAGATACCCCCAACTCTGACTCAGAGAAATCCTGAGTGGCAACATAAGTCTGAAAAGCAGTAAAAGACCAAGGTCTAAGGTGTAAACTACAGACTTGGCCCAGAGCCTAAACCAAAACGGGCCCAGGAAACATTTGGTGAGTGGAGAAGAGGAAGCCCCAGGGGATGAGGCCCAGTCCAGAGAGGGAGGGAACTGATGGAGGAGAAGCACACGAAGTGGGGGGGTGGGTCCTTTGAGGAGTCTGGAGTGAGGCGGAAGCGGGGCCAACAGGAGATGGGTCAGTAGAGTTGGAAGTACACGTGGTGAGCCATGGTCCATGGGGTTGGATAATGGCCAGTGGAGTAGGGTCAGTGGGTTGGAAGATGTTAAGCATGGAAGGGGCAATGGAAGGGGGTGGCTGGAGTTGAGAGGTGATGTTTTCAGGGTGGAAGGAATTCGTGAGGCTTTCTCTGGGGCTGGGGGGTGGTCTACTTTGAAGGAGGCGACCTCAGAGAGGAGGAGGCCATAGGGAGTCTACATACATTGGTGTCAGAGCCCTGGCGCAGGTTGAAGGTGAGGTCCCGGCGCAGGCCAGCCCTGAAGGCAGCCCCGTACTCAGGATAGAGCCTCAGGACTTCAGCCAGCCCTCGGCTGCTCAGTTGCTGCAGGCCACAGTAGGTCAGTGCCTTCACGTCGGCGCTGGTCTTCAGCACGCAGCTTGGAGCTGTGCCTGACCCAGGCTCCTGCCCTGGCTCAGGGATATCTGCCCCAATCAGGTCTCCTTTTCCTGTGGGTAAGAGATGCGGACAGACAGCTGGGGCAGAGGGACCAAGAGGATATTAGTGGTAATGAGGGATGGTCAATGTGTTTGAAGGATGGCTGAAGCGGGGTCAATCGATGGGATTGGTGGAAATAATGGAGTCGGCAGAAGGTCAGTGGAGAATGACTGGTGAAGTTGGGAGACAGTCAATTGGGGATGTCAGTAAAGCTGGAGAAATGATTGATGGAATTGGATGATCAATAAAGAATGGCCAGAAGGGTCAGTTAAAGGGTAGAAGTCAATGGAGTCAAGGGTCGATGGAAAAGGGTCAGTGGAATTGGAGATGGTGCAATGGGAAAGGATCAGTTGACTTGGGGGACAGTCACTGGGGAAGGGTTGATGGGTTCAGGGATGGCCACTGGGAGTAGGGGAGAGCCCAAGGGGTATGGTCTAAAGGGGATGGTGGTAGGATGCGGGGACCAAGAGAGAGTACCCAGTCCCTAGATTCCTGGCTACTCCCAAGGCCTCTGTGGGAAGGTTTTGGGGTAGGTAGAGGGTGGTGGTGGGATCCTCACCCAGGATGGCCAGCACCATGTTGTCCCGGAGCACCTCCAGTGAGCCGGAGCAGACATAGTAGTGCGCCTGCAGGGCATCCCCGCGGCGCAACAGGTACTCGCCCGGAGCGCAGAACGAGGTCTTGATGTGCAGGGAGAGGGCCCGCAGGCAGCCCCTGCTCGCTGCTCCAAACAGCGGCAGCTGCAGGATGTCCCGATTCAGGTGCATAGCAATGTCAGCTCTCAGCTCGTCTGGGAAGTCACGCAGTAACTGCATAAGGGGCATAAGTCATTCTGGCCATCCCCCTGAAGCTGCTACTTGAGCTCTACAGATATGCTGAGCTGTCTCCAAGGACAGAGCTCAAGTTACCCATTTCTGACCTTTAGGAAGACTTCTGTGTGTCTCACCTCAATTTGACTTGTGTGTGGACCTCCCAACCCAAGTCCTGGGGCAGAGACTAGGTCTTCTCCTGTCTGTCCACTGCTCACAGCTACACACACTGGTCACTCATACATCCTGGTCACTCAACCCCATGTATGCAAGGACCATCCCTGGTGGGTCAGCCTTCAACTGGAAGTCAGGAGACTAGAAATCAGCTCTGCATAAATCCCTGTGGACTTTGGGCAATCCATTTCCTCTCTCTGGGCCTCAGTATCCCCATCTGTAAAACGCAGGGTTACACTAGACCTTGAATTTTACCAATGACCTCCCAGGAGCCAAACTTAACGTTCATGGTTTGGTTCCATCCTCGTCTTATGGAGCCCCTCGGCCACCCTGGCTTGGTTACCTCTCCCTCTTGTCCCCCTCTCTTCCCCAGGCTCCTCTTCCTCAGCTGTCTTCTCACTGTCCACACTCTCCCTGCATCATGGCAACCAGCCGGGACTTCTACCTCCCCGTGAACCCGGAGCCCTATCTCTGGGTCCAGACCTGTATTTTCAACTACCCACGGGGCAACCTCCACCTGGATCCCCCATAGGCACCACACCCTCATCATGGCCCAACCCTGGACTCTCACTTTCACCCCTAAGTCCAATCTTCCTCCTGTAATGCCTCCATCCCACCCTCGGCCAAAACCAGAAACCTGAGAATCACTTTGAGCTCCTTTCCTGCAACCAGCGCATCACCAAGTCCCAAGGCTCCTGCTCTCAGAAATACCTCCTGGATCTGCAGGCCACTCCCCAGCCTAAAAATGTGGCAGGATAAAATCTAAATCCGAGGCCATGCATGAGCTGGGCCTGCCCGCCTCCCCGGCCTGGTCTCTTCACTCCTCTGTCCCTCACCCCTCCACAGCGCGCACACACCCTTTCCTGAAGGCTTGCTGAACTATTTTCAGTTCACCCTGCTCTTTTGCGTCAATCTTTCCAGACCTGTGTTCCTACTGCTCTTACTGCCTGGAATGGCCTTCTGGCCCCAGGCCAATTTTCTTCTTGTCCTTCACGATGTCGCCTCTTCTGTGACACCTCCCCTGCCTCCTCTAGGCCCAGACACAATGAGGGACCCACTGCACCAAGTCCCTCCAGTACAGTCCCATTCACAGCGTAACTATTTGTTTACCCATCTGCCTCCCTCACCAGACGGGTGCCTTCCCGAGGGCAAGGGCTGGGGGTAATCGTTCCGCAACCCCCTGTGTCCAGCACAGAGACTGGCCGGAAGCAGGTGCTCGAAGATGGTGGCTGAAAGGAGCATGGCATTAGCCATGTGTAGAGGAAAAGGGATGTGGATTCTGGTGGGTGCGTGCCCTTGTGAACAGCACCTCGTCTCCCTGCACCCCATTTGCCTCCATCCCAAACGCTGAGAGGCAGCGACCCCTTTCCCACTTTACCTCCGCGCGCTGGGTACCACCGGGAGCCCCGCGCACTACCTCGTTGGCGTCGATGCCGCTGTTGACTGTCCACGTGGTCTGGAAGTACTCGAGCATGCGCTGCTTGAGCGGCCGGGGCAGGCGGTGCACGCGGATGAAGTCCTTGAGGTCCTTCATGCGGCTGTGGTAGAGGGAGCGGCGCGAGTACATGCGCTGGATGATGGCCGTCACGTTCCCGAACACCACTGCGTGCATCAGCGCTGCGGCGCACAGCAGTCAGTCAGGGGCGGCCACCCCTCCGGCCTCCTCCCCCCGCAACTCCCCCTGCCCTGGATGGGTCTTGGGATTCCTGGGGGAGGGGCAGGTGAACCAGTGGGCTCCTGCGTGCCTAGGTGCTGGGTTGGGGCGGGGAACAGAGGGTGGTCCTGAGAGGGGTCAGACTCGATGCTCCTCTCATGCCCGCCCGCCCGCCCCATGAAGTCATGCACTTGGGCTTCCCATTCCTTTTGCAAGAGACCCTCCTGTTTGTGGCATCCCCCCAGGGCCAGCACGTAGCAGGTGCTGAGCAAACACCTATGAATAAATGCACGCGTGTCTGGTCGTGGGTGGACTCCTTGCCTTCCCTGGGCCTCAGTTTCCCCACCCACACGCTGGGCTTAGCAGGGCCACCCCGGGGGCTTGGCAGGCCCGGCCTCACCGCCTATGAGCATCGTGCAGATGGAGAAGATCTTCTCGGCGTCAGTGTTGGCGCACACGTTGCCGAAGCCCACGCTCGTGAGGCTGCTCAGCGTGAAGTAGAGCGCAGCGATGTAGGCGCTGCGCCGCGACGGGCCACCCGCAGAGCCGTTGACATAGGGCACCTCCAGCCGCTTGCCCAGCTCGTGCAACCAGCCTAGGGGGTGGAGGGATGCAAGGAGCCCCGGCTGCGCGAGCAGGGGAGGGTGGGGTTTCCTTGAACTGCCTTCACTTGACCTTGGTCGAGTATTTACAGAGGCGAGGGGAGGTTTGCACAAGAAATGCGAGGAGCAGCCCGTGCCCCGGCCACCCCACGGTGAAGTGGTTACCGTTGCAGTTCAAGGCTACCAACTCCCTACACGGCTGACTGTTTAGGGGCCCCTTCTAGTGCCTAATAGTTTATTAAGCGCTTCCTGTGTCCCAGGGTGCTGGGACTTGACCCAAACACGCTCCCTGCACTGGTGGAACTTACAGTCTGGAGGGGAAAGACATGAAATAAATCATTACAGGTGGAAAGCAGCTACTAAAAAGGAAGTATGTCTTCGGGAATCATAATGGGTTAGGGGGAGCCAACCCAGTTTGGTGGGGGTATGGTTCCTGAAGGACTCCCTTAAGATAGAGCATTTTAGTTGAGACCACAAGGATAGAAAAGTGGCTTAGGAAGAAGGGAGGGAAGACAAAAGAGAGAGGATTCCAGAGAAGAAAACACGTTCAAGGCCCAAAGTGAGAAAGCAGTACATCCAGGTGCTGGAGGGAGGCCAGGGTGGCAGCAGCAGAGGGGGCCTCGGAGGAAGGGAAGTCAGGTAGGGGTAGAGAGGGCTGCAGGCCCATGTACCGTGTGGACTGAGGGTGGACTTGACTTTGAGGGCAGTGGGGAGCCACCAGATGAGTCCTGTCAGGGGTACTTAGCCTCTGCCCAGAACACCTCCCCACCTTCAGAGTGTTTCCCATACTGTATTTTGATTGCCTGTCACTGGTCTTGCGCCCCTGCTATGCTGTCAGTCTCCCCAAGGCAGAGCCCATGGCTTCAAATCAGTATTCCCAAGCCTGATCCGGCAAGGAGCTCGTGCATGTTTATCGGATGAGTGGAGGAATGTGGAGTAGGGGGTGGGGATCCTGGTGGAGGTGTCAGCTTGGGGGCCTGTGTGGACAGGGAAGGTGGATGGGTGGTCAGTGAAAGCCTGGGGTCAATGGCTCACCGATGTCCCAGAGCAGCGGGTCGTTGGCCTCCATCTCCCGGCGCCCGACGACATACCAGACGCAGGCCATCCAGTGGGCAAGGAGCGCAAAGATGGACATGAGCAGCGTGAGAACCACGGCACTGCACTGCGAGTACCGCTCCAGCTTCTGCAGCAGCCGTAGCAGCCGCAGCAGCCGCACTGTCTTCAACAGGTGCACCAGCGACGTCTGCGGGAGCGAGTGCGATGGGGGAGACTGTCAGCCGGCACCCCACGTCCCTTGCCAGCGCCTTGCCACCAGATGCCCCGGAGCTAGGGGAAGCTGCCCCAGGAAAAGTATCCCTGCTGTGCTGAGAAGGTGACCAGGAAATGCAGGGGGGAGAGGGTAACACTGAAACTAATAATGGCTAACAGTAAGTATTACGTGTGTCAGGCACTGGGCTAAGTATTTGTAATCCTCATTCAAAAAGTATGCCTTCAGTCCAATTATCATCATCATTCCCAGATTGCAGAGGAGTAAACTAAGGCTCAGAGAGGCTACTACTTACTTGCTCAAGGTCACAGATCAAGGAAATGATGGAGCTGAGACTCAAATCTGAGATGACACCAAAGTCCGTTTTGTGCTCTACTGCCTCTTAGCACCTCAGCTGGTGAAAGGGCAAGTCTGGGTCAGAAGCGGGGCAACAGACAGAAAGATCTCTGGCCCGTGCTCAAAGTCCCCAGTGTCCTAGGTACAATCAGCTGTGGACAGGGGAAGGTTTAGGGACCTCGCCCCTTGTGGGTCAGCTGCAGATGAGAGGGTCACACCGAAATGTTGAGGGAAGGAGAGCAGGGATGAGGGTGCTTGGGCTGTGAGGTCTCAGGCCCTGTGGGGTTCACTGAGGGTTGATGGAGCTAGTGGCACCTGGCAAGCGTCCTGTAAACGTTAGCTAACGTTACCACTCTGCTTTCGTTGTGCTTTGATTAGCCTTCCAGTCTTAGATGATGAGCAGGTGGGGGCTTATCTTCTTGCTACTCTGGGTGGGGCAGCTTGGGGGCTAGGGCTGGGGGCTCTGGGGCAGCGTCTGGGGATCTCGGTATGAAGGCCCTTCACTGTCCTTTCAGGGGCCTCCAGGAGCATCCCCCATAGCCCTGGCCCTACACAGCTCCTGAGTCACTGCCTGCCATTTTCTCTAATTTTAGGCAAGGGAGTCGCAGAGGAGGTGGCTTTGATTCCCCCACATGGACCCTCTCCAGGGCTTAATGCCTGCCCCCAGCTTCCAGAGCTCCTGACTCCAACCTTGAGTTCTTCAAGGCTTCCCTTTGTCACCTGCCCCTGGGCCCCGCTCCCTTGGGGCCCTCCTCTCATTCTCCTTGGACCAGAATGTCTCAGGCCTGGCTCCTTCAAGTCCACAACTCTGCCGGTGCCCACTTCTCCTCCGTCTTTGCTCGGCCTCGCTCCAGCCCCACATTGCTCCTCCTCTCCCCTCATGCCAGGCCATCCGCTCAGGTACCCTGGTTTCCCAGGAAGCAGGGTAGCACGCTGGAAAGAATACCAGACCAGGAGTCTAGAGACCTGGTTCCAGTCTCCTGCCTGCCACTGCTAGCTGTGTGACCTTCAACAAGCCACTCAACCTCTCTGAGCCTCTGCATCTGCCTCTGAGAAAGAGAGATACGAGAATCGGCCCTGAAGGGTTACTGTGAGCTTCATATGTGATGATGTGTGGAAGAACTTAGTAAACTGTAAAGTGGTCCTGAAAGTACCAGAGGAGGGGGAACTGCCTGGTGGGCACAAAACCCAGGGGGCCGGGGGTGCACTCAGGGGAGGGGTGGGGAGCCCTGCTTGGAATGGCTGGAGCCTCAGGGCAGACACACCCACATGCACGTGTGTGGGAGCGTGCACACACGTGTACACAGCCAGGAGAAGAGGCCCACAGCCCGTTGGCGGCTGGTTAAATCCGGCTGCGTGTAGGTGGCTTCCCGCTATAGCTGAGGGTGGCAGGGAGAGGAGCACACAGGGAAACTGCTCCCCACCTCCCCACTCAGCAACCAAGGGGGTCTGGGGACACAGGGTGGGACTCCCTCTCCCTGGGCCAGAGAAGACCTAGTATCTGCCAGCTAGGTTCAGAGCTGACCACCTAGGGCGCCTCCAGGCAGTCCCCGGGGAGCTGGGAGGATGAAGGTCCTGGGACTCTCCGCCTCCGAATCCACTCCGCAGCCTCTACCTCCCTGTCCTGGCTTACTATGCTCCCCCCAGATGCTCCCTCTTCTTGTCTCCTGCCAGTCAGGTCCTAGTCTGTCTAAGGTCTAGCTCTGCTCTCACCTCCTCCCACAGGAACCCTTCCCAGACCACCCTAGCCTCTGCCCATCTGCCATGCTTTGGCTTCCTAGGCACTGGCCAGATTTCAGATCATTTTTGCGGGAGCCCACGTTCCAGCCTGGAACTCCAAGGTCGGCTAGCTCCGTGCCCAGCCCCCACGCAGCAATACCTTGGTCCCATCTTGCACTCCATTCAGCTCTTCTGTTCCTGCTGTTCCCACCAGCTTAGCTACCGAGAGGCTGAATTCTTACCACTTTTCTCCACAGTGACCATGCCACACACAGTGCTTTGCAGACAGCTAAATGCTCATCCTTTGTTTGTTAAATAGAAATGTGAAAAGTGCCACTCATTTGGCTTCAGACCAATGCCGCCTTGGTAGCCCTACTTAGCTTTTCATTTGTCACAGCTTCCCTCAGAGATTGTGAGCTGAGCTCCCCAAGAGCACAGACCCTCTCGGACCCTTCTCAGCTTCTAGTGCTGGGCTCTGCCCATCACAGATGCCTGACAAATATTCGCAGATGACTGAGTCTAGGACTGAGGTGGGTCCCTTAATGGGAGATGCTGTGCTGAAGTTGGGCAGCTAGGCTGCAAGGTGGGACAGGGAACACTTACCACGGTGATGTTGAAGACGTAAAGCAGGTCAAAAGGCAGAGCGGCAATGAGGTCAACAAAGAACCAGGTGGCCAGATAGTGGAGGCCAATAGAACGAGGAGCAGAGACCACTTGGCCGGACTGGGACACATAGGTGGTGCGGAAGTTCAGGATGATATCTGGGGGTGCAAGAGGCTGTTACTAGGGGGCCTTGGCCAAGGGCAAGAGACTCAGAATGGAGGTGGACGCAGGAATGGGGAAGATGCATTGGGCTTCAGGCTGGTCCTTAGGGAGGAGAGGTCTAAAGGCTGAAGTCTCCAGGGGTCAGGGGTCAGGGCTCACGGACCACGAGGACTAAAAGACCCAGAAATGGGTAGGCTCTGACTGCCTGGGTCCTGCAGGCCCAGGATGGAGCGAGGCTTGGATGAGTGGGTCCCTCCAGCCCACCAGCCAGGGTACGTGGGGCAGAGCATCTAACCGAGGATGAAGAGCATCTCCACGGCGATGTCGCTGACAAGGGTGTGTCGGGAAGTGATGGGGGTGTCGTCATCATCCGAGAAGCAGACATTGTAGGGGACGGTGACCGCAACGTAGAAGGTGGCGAGGAGGATGAGGCCGTCCCAGATGGCCTTGGGCACGCTGTAGTGGAGGAGGAGGCAGCGGGACCCCCCCACGGAGGCCACCTTGTATTCGGGCACTGATGGCTTTGGCTCAAACACGTTCTAAGGGGAGAGGGGTGGCGGTTGGGGACACTCGGGGGAAAGAGGAGCCAAGGTTGGGGGGAGGGAGAGGTAAGGAGTGGGGAAGGGGAGAGTGGGCACTGCAGGCGTGACCACGAGAGGAGCTAGAACGTGCAGGAGAGGGGGTCGGGGCTGGCACCTGACACCTCCTTCCTCTGCCAACTTACTGCTCAGGCCCCCTTTTGAATCAATCATGTTTTTTGCGGGGGTAGGTATTTCTAAGGCTTGACCTTCACCTTGCTTGAGAAGGTGATTATGACAAATCAGGCACAAGCCCTGGCTCGAGAGGTCACTAGCTTCTCCTTCAAGTTCCTCTTGGGTTCTAGGGGTGCAGTGGAGGATGAGTATACCCCAGGGATGAGGGGAGGATGGCATGGTGCGCCCCACTCGCTGTAGCCATAACACACTGCACAGATGGTTGGAGACCCGTGGCTTCATCAGGGTCCTAGGAGTGGTACACAGGGCTAGATGCCAGGCCCCCAGTGGGGGCTTTCTCCCTGGAACCACAGTTAGTGATTTCGTGCCCCCCTTGTGACATCATCAGAGCAGGGTATTGGCAATCACAAGGAAGCAAGGGAGATGGGGATGGAAGGAGATGTGGGGGAACATGGGATAGAGCAGAGAACCGTACATGAGAAATGGACGGACAGAGGAAAAAGCCTCTGGAGGGAGATCAAACAGACAGAGAAACAGGGACACAGTAACAAGGGTGCCTCAGAAACACGGCTGGAAGATGCTGGGGTGGAGATAGGACTCACATTGGTTTTCATGCCTCCCTGGCCCCGGCGGCCAAAGTGGCCAGTCAGTCGGTGTAGGACAGTATGGCTCTGCCTCCTGGTGGATCGAAGTCTCGAGCTGGCTCCCCTCCTACCAAGGGACTTTTCTGTTGGGAAGAAGGGTACGGAGATAAGTGGGGGCGCATCCCATGAGGCTGAGTAGGGAGAGGTCTTCTGTGACCCTGGGCAAGGACTTCTGATCATTCATGCCTTCTCCCCAGACTTGCAGTTACCATGATTACTGTCTCTGTGGCCTCCTGGGGGGCCAAGTCCTGGGCCTCCACTCTGAGTGATGTCCTTGAAGGAAAAGAGGAAAAGTACAACCTCCCCCATCTCATTCTTGATGGGCATCATGTCCAGGAGGCACCAAAAAGCTGAGCCTGTAGGTGTGGAGAGATGGAGGAAGAGGGTGAGCAGCCCATGGCATCTCTTTCTCTCTCATCCCCCTTGGTTCCTGGGCATAGTCAAAGGGCTTGGCCAAGGTTTAGTGCTGGGAAGAAGCCCAGAGATTATGTCAGCTATCTCCTTCACCTTCCTGATGGGAGAACCACGGCCCAGAGAGGGTCGGGGATGCACTCAGTGTCACACAGTCAGCTTGTGGCAGTGTGGGGACCAGCACCCAGGCTTCCACTGTGCCAAGTGGACTCTGGCTAAGGCCTGTGGTCTGGGCAGGACTGCAGGGCAGGCTAGGCCCCCTCACCATCCTTTCGGTAGAAGCAGATTTCAGCCCGGTGCTCCTGATGGCCCTCCAGGGCCTTGTGCAGCCTCTGCAGGGCTGGCTCACTGGTCTCTGGACCGTAGAGGAAACGGCAGTTGCAGGTTTTCTGCATGACCTCAGTGCGGCCGTAGCCTGTGAGCTCACAGAAGCCGTCGGAGCAGTAGACAATGGGAAAGCCCCGTGGGCCCTGTGTGTTGGCCAGCAGGAAGTTGCCGTCTGTGGGAAGAAGAGGTCAAGGTCAGGTCAAGGCCAGAAGGAGAGCTCAGCTTCCAGGTGGGCCATACCTCCCCCAAGCTGTGGTCAGAGATCCCAGAGCCAGAAACTTCCCAGGCTCCCATGTGATTCCTGGATCCCCTTTGGAATATTCTGAAATGAGAGTAAGAAGAGATAGAGCAAAAGGACAAGGACTTAAGGGTGGGAGGATTGGGAGAGGGGCTACTAGGGGGTTGGAAAAGGAACCCCGAGAAGTCATGAGGTTCATCCTCCTGCCTTCAAGCTGGTGAGCTGTTACCGTAGGAGGCAGCACAGCATGGTAAGGGCATGGGCTCCAGCACCCACCTCTGCCACTTACTGACTGTGTAACCTTGGGCAAGTTAATGAACTCTTCTGTGACTCAGCTTCCTTATGTGAAAAGTGGGGGATAATATATCTTCCTTGCATGGTTGGTGTGAGAGTTACATGAGTTACCTGGGAAGAACAAGTCCTGGCACATAGTAAGTGTTACACTGAGAAGGTGAACTGATGCCCCACATTCGCCCAGCTTTCAAAGCACATCCATAGCCACTGTCCTATCATCCTATTAGAGAGTGAACAGGGCAGAGATTCTGGTGAGATCATGCCCATTTTATTGATAGGAGACGCAAAGGCAGAGTTATCCAAACTCACAAACCTCCTTTGTTGGGGGAAAAAGACAGTGATGAGTAGCATCCTTATTCCCTGCCTTTCAGGAAAGGTCCTCTTTTTAGCATCCCTTAGCTAATTTCAGAGGGTCTGTCCCAGTGCTCAAAGTCTGACAGGCTTGAGCAATGAAGGTGTGGCTTCAGCAACCCCAGCAACAGAACCTGAGCTGGCTCCCTCCAGCTCCAATGGGCGGGAGGCCTCAGGGGGGCTCTGTGGGCCATCTAGGGACAGTCTCAGCTGAGGGAAGGGATCTGAGACACAACCAGTCCTGGGGCGCTAGGAGGGCTGAGTGTCTGGGGGTGGAGCGACTGATGGGGATACTGCAGAAGCCTGGGAGGCGCTGGGCCCTGGGCAAGCAGCCTCCTTCTTCCATCCCAGGCCCGTTGCCTGGGTGATGGGCGCTATGGAAACAAGGGAGGTGTGTGTGGGGGCGGGGTGGGGAGGCGGGTAGGGCCCCGGCGGCTCGGTTTCCGCCCTCAGGTACCGCTCCCCCGACCTGCCAGATCCCAGCCAGGGTGTCCCAAGGGGGGCAAGGGGAGATCTCTCAGTACCAAAGTAGGAAAAGGGAACGGCGGGAGAAGCGGCGGGTAAGGAGGACTGTGGCTGTCCAAGGTGCTGAACCTGGAACCCAAGCTGGGATGGGGGTGTAGGCAGTTCCCTGTGTCACACAGACCACCCCCCTCTTCCTGCCTCACCTCCCTCAGACACAGAAGCTCTACGGCTCGGGGGCGCGTGACCTCAATCCAAGCTAGGTCCTGCCGAAGTCTGATCTTTTCTCTCTCTCTTTTTGCTTCTGAGGGAAGTGGATGCTGGAGTCGTCTGGGAGTAGACCCCAGAGCGTCTGCCCATTTCGTCCCACCTCCGCGTCTTGGATACCCCCTCACACGCCTCCAGCAGCGCTCAGCCCGAGAGTGGGCGGCTCCCAAGGACTCTTCTCCGCTTTGCCGCACAAAGAGCCTTTCCGGCTTCCAGTCACACAACCCCAACCTTGGCCCCCCACACACTCTTGGTCCTCGCCCGCCTCCCCTCCCAGGGCGCCCCCAGCCCTGTTCCTTTACCGCGGCTTGGCTCTGGGAGTTCCTAGACCCTCAACTCCACTCTCTCTCCTCCCCTCGGGTCTCTCTCACCATATCCAGGAGACCCGCAGCGCCGAAGGAGACTTAACCCCTAGCTCGAACCCCCAGCCTCAGCCTCCGGCCCACTCACGCGTGCGGTCGAAGCGGGTGGCGATGGTGTCCAGGAAGGTGTTCTGCGGGGCCAGTAACCCCTTCATGACCGGCATGGCCTCGGGGCGCGGGCTCGAGGCGCGGCGCCGGGGGGCGTTCAGCGCGGCCGGGCCGGAGGGGGCGCGCTGCCGGCGAGGCCGGGGCGCCCCATGCGCCCGCCTGCCTCCTCCCCTCCCTCTCGGCGCCGCCGCCGCCTCTCTGCTCCGAATCCAGCAGCTCTCCGCTCGTCTCGGCGCCGCCTCGGTCCCCCCCACCTCCCGACGGGCCAGGTTCTTTCCCTCGGGCTCGGCCCGCGCCCGCCACGTGGCCCCGCACGGGGAGGGGCCACCAGAGGCACCCTCACCCCTCTCTGCTGCTCTCCTCCCGGTGGGGAGCGGCCCACGCGTGTCTCTCCCTCAGAGAATTCGGGACACGCCCACCCGGAGCCGAGGCTCCAAGAGGTGGGGCAGGGCTTGAATGACAGACACGCCCACCTTCCAGGGTGGCCACGCCCCCACGCGTGTTTCCCTGGCTGCTCCTTGTGTCTCCGCCCCTCGGGCTTCCCCGCGCACCGCCCACCCTGGGAATCTTGTCTGGTTCACAGCGTCGCCTGCTGGAGTTGGGGTATTTCACAGCACCCCCAGCTCCCTGAGCTCCAGTGTGAGACAGCAAGTGTTAAAGAGGCTAGTTTTGCCGGTGGAGGATCGATGGGAAGGCAGGAAACTCAAATTCTAGAATGCACTACTTAACCCTCACCTGTGCCTCAGTCTGCGTAGGGCACCCTGGCGAGCTCTGCCTCTAAGCTCAGCAGTGTGGATGAAAAGAGCTTTGGAGTCCACTGGGTAGAAATCCCAGCTCTGCCACTTACTGTGTGACTTTGCCTCTCACTATCAGCTGTAAAATGCAGCTAATAATTTTTACCTCGTATGGTTGTGAGAATTTAATAGCATAATGCATACCTTTGGCACGCAATGTGTTGGTGAGCAATTGTCTCCCTATTCTCCCTCTTCCTATCATCCTGATTTAACCCTCCTTCTCTCTGCTACCATTTAGGTGGAAGAGAGGCCGGAAGCAAGTTTGGGGCTGAGAAAGATAGTTTCAAGCTGGGCAGTCAGTTTGTAAATCTCCAAAGGTGCGCTGGTGGATTTTGTTCTTCTCCAAAACGAAATAAGTGCAGCAGCAAGAAGGACCCAGGTGAGACCAGACACAGGACTTTTTCACTGTGGAAGCAGAAAATTACTCGGGCAGCTGAGTGTGGTGGCTTGGGGTGGCTGCTTGCCAGAACAAGACAGCCAAAGCCAGTGACAAAGGGAAGATGGGCTGGGGAGAGGGCAGGCCAGTGTTCCTCACCCTCACGCTGAGTCTGAGCTGGGCATTATCTGGGATGATATATTGCTTAAAAGTGCCACATCTCTACTTTTGGGTGTTAGTTTCTTAGGGCTGCTGGAACAAAGTACCATAAGCTGGGTGGCTTAAACAACAGAAATTTTTGGCTCAGTTCTGAAGGCTGGAAGTCCAAGATCAAGATGACTGCAGGGTTGGTTCCTTTTTAAGGCCGTGGGGGAATATTTGCTCCATGCTTGTTTTCTAGCTTCCGGTGGGTTGTTGGCCTTTTTTGGCTTGTAGATGCATCCCTCCACCTCTGCCTTCATGTTCACGTGGGTTCTTCTTGTGTGCATGTGCCCAAATTCCCCGTTTATATAAGGACACATCATGTTGGATTAGAGGCCCACCCTACTCCAGTTATGACCACATTTTAACTAATTACGTCCACAAAGACTCTATTTCCAAATAAGGTTACATTCTGAAGTGCTGGGGGTTAGGACTTCAACATGTAAATGGAGGGGGGGGGGTGTGTGTGCACACAATTCAACCTGTACCAGGTGTGTTCGGTTAATTGCAGGAAGATCTTGCCGCATCTCCACTTAAGAACTTCTCCTGACTCTCAGCTACCTACAGAATAAAGTGAAAAGCCTGACGACTTGTGAGGGTCTTCACAATCTGGGCTGCACAAGCCTAACCGCCTCCCCTTCAACGCCTCACTGCTCCCCCAGACTCTCTACCCCACGCTGCAGCTCTCTGGAAGATTTATGTTGAACCTCAGATTCCCTGCCTTTTCGGCAGGCGCAGCTCCCTCCTTCCCAGCCGGATTCCGCTCCTCTGCTTGCTTTTTCTCTCCTCTGCGTCTCTCCGGAAAGGCCCTGCGATACAGAATGACTGGTAGAGCACTGAGGGACGTGTGTGTCCCCATCCTCCCCTCCAAGCACGCACATATGCGGTTCTCTCCGCACCCCAGGGCCTTGCACAGTTCCTTGCTCTGGGAGCTCCCCGCCCGAGAGTGTTTCGGGTTCAAAGACGCCCAAGCTGAGGTTTCCCCGAGCCTCCAGGTTTTCTGGCTCTTTATAGTTAGAAAGACTCTCACGCCCCCTGGAGGGCGGGACGCGACCGCACCGGGACGGAGAGCAGCCACACTAACAGAGGGAGACTCGTCTTTATTGCCCTTTTAATGCGGGCTGACACCGGGCGGGCTGACAGAGGGGAGAGGGCAGGGCCAGGGTAGGGCCAGGACAGGACCTGAGCAAGGGCTCAGACCCCGGACCGTCCCCCGGGCGCAACAGACGAGGTGGCCTCAGCGGGACACCGGCGCTCGGGGCAGGGGCGCGGCGCTGCCTCTGCGCCTGCGCGGCGGCCCATGGTCAGGATGCCGGCCGCGTGGTTGCCACTGGCCTGCAGGAGGCGCTGCAACCGGCCCTGGAGGCCCGGGGGCCCGGGCCGCCGCTTGCCCAGCGTGAGGATGCCGGCCGCGTGATTGCCCGCGCCGTGCAGTAGCTCGTAGAGGCGGCAGGAGCACGTCTTCTGACGGCAGCAGTCGGGCGGAGGCTGCGCGGCCGCCCCGGGCGACAGCAGTGCAGGCGGCAGCAACAGCAGCAGGAGCAGCAGCGTCACGGTGGCCCAGGAGACCTGGGGAGGCGGAGACCGGGCGCTGAGGGTCGCCCGCATCCAACCCCTACGCCCGGGCCCTGCACAGCTGGCTTCACGCCCCCTCCTGGCCTGTGCTCCTCCCTCGCTGTCGCTTAGCTTGCCTGTCTCTGCGCAGAGCTGTCTGAAGGGCTCTGTTGGAGAAGGGCTCGTGTCTGGCTCCTTTACCTACTCGTCCTTGAAGACCTAGCAGAGGATCTCCTCCAGGAAACCCTTGGAGACCCCCTGGACAGAATGAATCCCTCTCTCCTCTGGGTACCCATTAGAGCGCTGACCACTCCCCCTGAAAACAGACATGTCTGAATCTGCCCCAGACGTTTGTGGAAACTTAGCTCAGGGAAACAGAGGCCCTATTTATCCGCTCCTCCCCCCTCACAGTGGGCAAACACGTGCAAATCAAGGACTGGCAGGATCCAAGCTGTTGTCTTGTCGGCCGCTCCCTTGCAGGGGAAACAGCTCAGTCGCTTTGGGCCAGTTTCCTACCCTCTCAGGGAGCACAACATCCTCACCTGTAAACTGGGTATTAAATAATTCCTACTGTGCAGGGCTTCTGGGAGGATGAAATGAGATGACAGGTGCAAACAGCACCTAATACGTAGTGAAGGCTCAGTAAACATGAACCCTTAGGAGAACACGGCACAATGCAATGTTAGCCAAGGCAGATACTCGGCCAAGGGTCCACCCCGTCCGCTGCCTCAGAACCCGCATGGGAAAAGGCCAAGAGCTAGACACCTTCAACCTTTCTTCCAGCTCCCTGAGCAGGCCCTCTCATTGCCCCTGGCCTAATGAGTCACCCCTCCGTCCCCGGGTCTTTACCTTTGTAGAAGGAGTATTCATGGTGTCTGGAGCTCAGAGTGGCGTAGCCGGGAAAGGTGTCGTCTGCAGTCGTCCAAATAGCCAGGAGCTTGGAGGCTGTCAACTGCAACCCGCTACCAGGGTCCTGGGGTTTATAGTGCTCTGGGGTGGCGGGGGAGAGATGGGCACTTGCGTCCACTCTGGGGCCAGACAATGGCAAATCTAAGATTAGCCTCCCGCAGGAGGGCCGTCTCCAGGCTGGGCCCAAGGAACGGCACCAAGGCACTCAGAGACTGGAGGTGGATCATTGTGCTCCTGGCCACCTCCCCGCCCCCGTCTGCCCGCCTGCTCCCTGGAGATGGGGCGGTCTCCGGGCACTAATGAGGCCAACTCGCACCTAGGAATCTGGGAGCACAAAAGAGGCCTTGCCTGGGATGCTGGTGTGGGACAGTGTGTCAGGGGAGCTGCTAATTAGGGGCAGGAAAGGAGGCAGTCGTGAGACTCACTCCCCACAGGATGTGTGTGGGGGGAGAGGGCAGCCAGGCAACAGGCCTCTCCCCCCGTCCTCCTGTCACTGCTCCTGGGGCCTTCAGGCTCCAGGGCCTTCTTCCTCCACGGAAAAGCTTTCTTAGCTGGCTCTCCCTCCCCTCTGTCTCTCTTCTTCCCTCTGTCCCTTTCACCAACCTCCAAGATGGAGAAACTTGAAAGCCAACCCTGGGCAGTGGGAGGAAAGCAGCAAAACCTGGTGAGATCCTTCAACATCCCCAGCTTCCTTCCTACCTGGCTGGGCTGCCTGGACAGGAGGGATGGAGTCCCATCCCACCATCAGCAGGGAGAGAGCCACCATGGGGTGAAGGACACATGCCATCTCTAGGCTGATGTCTTATCCAGGGCATTGTCTACTGAGCACCAGTTCCATGCCAGGCCCTGCTCTGGGCACTGGAGTGACAGTGTGCATAGGATATAGCCCAGTTTTCAAGGAGCTCCAAAGTCCAGGTGGGGAGGCGACCCGGCAAAAGGCTAGCTCAGTGGAGAAAGGCCTCTGAAAAAGCCTTGCATGAAAAGTGGGTTTCATCAAGTAAGGTCAGGGGAGAAGGCATTCTGAAGAAGGGACAAAGACCTAGACATGACAGCGCTTATTTCTCGCGGGAAGTAAGGCGTGGTCCACAGATCACTTCTCTTACAAGAGAGAGGTGACTGGACAGGTAAGTGAGGCCAGGGTGGGTCAAAGGGTCTTATTGGCTAAGCTGATTGGTCTTGATCTCACGGGCGCCAAGGCGCTGTGGGAGGATTTGAGCAGGAAGGAGTTGTGGGCTGGTGGGGGAACGGGTGGGAGGGGGCAGGGGCCTGGATGTGGGGCATG